ATATATATATATATATATATATATAAAATTATTTATTTGTACATAATTAACTTTGCTATTTATAGTCTAATTATATCCATATAACATAAAAAAAATAAAACATAGTTATTTTTCTTGAATATATATGAATGTTTGCCATATTCTGAAGTTTTTCCTTGATATAGATTCGTAAGCAAAATATACGAACATAAATATATAAATCGTAGCTTTCGTAGCAAATGAAATTATAACTATGAAGCACAATTATCGTAACTATAGCTATAAAGTCTTTCTATTATATTTGTTATTTCTGAAATTTTCTATAATTAAAACTAATACATTGAAATATTTTTAGAAAGAGTACATTACTAATTATTAATGTCATTTAAGCACATGTTTTACTTTATGGTTGGAGCAATAAAACTAAAAATATTTTATTTTTAATCATCATTAATGTAATGACGATCACACTAGACATTTATGATGCCTTTGCTAAAGCATGAGGCTTCACATTAAAATTCCTTACGTTTGCCAATTTAACTTTTAACACATTGAACGATGAGTGTTCATATTTTCAAACTGGCCACTTGTGACAAAATTTAGCTTTTATGTTTAACACCAAATATCTTATCTTGAATTATCTTTTTTAATATAATCAGAGATGAGCAACTCAATATTACATACTAAAATGATGCTCCCACTAAATTGTACTAACTTTTACTATAAGTATATAAGAAAATCAAGAATATCATGAAAAAGAATGACATACTCTACAAAAATCAAGAATACCATATCACATGACCTATCTTAGACTTTTTTTTCTAATTATTACTCCCTCCGTCCATTTTTACTTATTCATTAGGTTAAAAATAACTGTTCATTGTTGCTTATTCATCTTAGAAAATCAAGAAATAATTTATTTTTATTTTAAGGCATTAGATTCATTATATCCATATAATAAAATTTTCATTTTATTCATTGCTTCTTAAAAGTTAAAACACGTCCCAAGTCAAATACCAAACAAGTAAAGACGGACAGAGGGAACAAAAACTAAATATTTCCTACGAACATTTAGAACTAACTGAAGTAAATATAATATCCCCACCTTTTTTTTTAAAAAAAAAAAAAACATTTTTTCGTGTGTGAAAAATTTCAATTGATAAAATCTTCATTTATCCTTTTTAGCACTCTGAATATCCATTTGTAAACCCAATTTTCTGGCTTGAAGATGAAATTGAGCCACCGCCGCCAACAATTTGACGGACTGTTTTTGCTGGAGAATATCCAGAATTTTCCTGACCGTCGATCCTCTTAAATGCTCTGCTGTTTCCACCATTGACATCATCGAATTTTTCATCCCATCAATTATACTTTCCAAATCCGTCGCCTCTCCGTCCACCACCGTTCCCCCTCTTTTCATCAGCTCAAATATCGGCGGCGCCGCCCCTCTTTCCTGTACCTTCGCCATCCCTTTTTCAATTACCTATTTCAAATTTAGATGAAACATGAGCTAATATTGGTCACTATGAGTAAAAGTAACTAACTCTGAGTTATTTTTCTCAGAAAGTTAATCAACTATGAATTTTTTACTCAGAAAATCACTTAATATTAATTTTTAACTCGAAATTATTTTACTTATAAAGTCACTCAATCATGAGTGTTGTTTTTAAAAATCAAAATTAAGTGACTTTCTGAGAAGAAAAAAAAATTCATAGTTGAGTGACCATCTGAGATATTATCTCGATGAAACATCGCAATTCAATTTTTAGATTTAAAAAAAATTCAATTTATTTGATATTTATACTGAAGCTCAAATAAATTCAAATTCGCTCAGAAAAAAAAAAACCCCACATTAAGGAATAAAGGCTTGCAACATATACTACTGTTCCTTCGGTTCTATTTTATGTAGCATCGTTTGACTGGACAGAAGAAATAGTATAACTAAAAATTTGTTCAAAATAACTACATTACCTTTTCTTCTCTTTTAGTCTCTGCTTTTAGCCTCTTCAACTTTTCCTCTTGCTCTGTTGTCAATTCTGAACCTATTGAGTAATTAATAGTTGGAAAAAGTGTAGAAGGCTTAAAACCAGCTATCCAAAGAAATGTTTTTTCTAAAGAAGTGTACCATGGTGGAGAAACTAGAAGAAATACATCTCTATTTGTTGAATTGAATTTTTCTCTATAGTAATCTTGGTAATGATCCAAAACTTTTGTCACCAATTCACTGCTTTTATTTTCTTCTTCATCTTCACCATATGAGGATGAAATTGCATTTAATTTTTCAAGAAAATTTTGGAGTTGAATAAGCCAATTTTCGTAGTAAGGATTAATATTGGAGGGGGTTTGTGAAGTTGAAGTTGATGCCATGTTTGAACTTTTGGTAGTGGCCTTGACAAATGTGAAGGAACATGTATTTTGGCTCTATACTATATATAGTAGCACTTGTTTAATATATAATACTTGTATGCATTTTTTTAATTTGGTCGGTTTAGTTTGTATGTATTTTTTAATTTTGTCTTAGTTGTTAAGACTTTTGTAGTCAAAAAGTTCAAGTGCATGTGTTTGATGATGTTTAATTTTTTATTTATTTTTGGTGCATGCTCATATTTTTTTTCCTGAAGGTTCCCTCTAAGGGATTCAATAAACGAAACCTGACCTTCGCATTGCAAAACTAGGAGTGAGATCACATTCTTACTCTCTAACTTATCAAAATAAAAGGAAAGAAAAAAGAGGAGAGTTGCTCCTCGTCACATAAGCTACAAAAAAAGTCTAAAATTACATAGAACTAGAAGCAATCAATCAAAATTTAGCAAGGATTGAATAATTTTAAAAAATCTTTTAATTTTTTATTTATTTTTGGTGCATGCTCATATTTTTTTTTCCTGAAGGTTCCCTCTAAGGGATTCAATAAACGAAACCTGACCTTCGCATTGCAAAACTAGGAGTGAGATCACATTCTTACTCTCTAACTTATCAAAATAAAAGGAAAGAAAAAAGAGGAGAGTTGCTCCTCGTCACATAAGCTACAAAAAAAGTCTAAAATTCATAGAACTAGAAGCAATCAATCAAAATTTAGCAAGGATTGAATAATTTTTAAAAAAATCTTTTAATTTTTTTATTTCCTATCTAATTAAATTAAAACAAACAAAAAGTAAAATAGAAATAACAATAAAGAATCTCCTTTAAAAAAGTGTTAAGTCAAGGCAGTGTAGTAATAGAAGAAGACAAATAAGGAATTAATTCGAATATTGAATTTGCGTCATTCAAATCTTCTCTCCACATTTATAATTTCAGATGGAAATTAATAGTTGTCTTTTATTAAAGTCGGTTCACTTTACTACTGCCGCCTTAAGTTTTTGTTGGACTTGTTTTAGGTTTTGTTTGGATATAATTTGAAATTAAGATCATATAAAATTAAATCAAAATTGATAAAATGATTTTTTTTAAATGTTGTAATTGTTTATTTATAATGAGTTATTCATTTACTGTTTTGGATAATGGTTTAATTTTTTTTTATCGAGTTATCAATTTTATAATTGATCGTTTTTAATGAATTAATCTATAATTCAATAGTAAGTTAATTTTTTTTTACAGTTATATCTTTCGGTATATAAAATTTTGGCTTATTTAGTTTCATACATTTACTTATCATTGTCTCAGACTTCTAGTTATTTTATAAGGGATCAGTAGGGAAGGACCTAAAATTTTCATTAAAAGGGTTCAAAATATGAAAAAGTAAACATACGAAAAAGTTGAAGGGGGTTCAACATCTATTATATAAACATATAAATGATTTTAATCATATATAAATAATATAATTTTCTACTTGCAGGAGTTCGAATAACCCTCGGTCCATACTAGCTCCGCCCCCTTGAGTGTCAGTATCTTCTTATGAGCAAAATGCAATCAGCCAATAAAAGAATATTGCCTATAGATTTAATATTATTTAGTGTGTGTATATATGGTAGTATGATTTTTCATAGAGCAACTTTCACATATAGCAAACACAAAATTCATATTTGTATGCTATAGCAAAGTTTGCATAATTGCGCTCCATAGCAAACATAAATATGTATATTTCGCTATACATATACAAAAGAAAGCAGCTGTATAATCTGCTTTGGTATACATGTACAAAAAGATCAATTGTATAAAGTGAGAGAGGCGAGTGAGCGAGCGAGATCTGGAGAGTGGCGAGCGAGATCTGGGAGAGGGGAACGAAAATATATGTATATATACAATTTTCTCTCGCTTTATACAAACA